AAACACTCTACGCAAAGGTGAGGATGGAGCATGGCTGTAGCTTACACAAGCGCTTCAGGGTCTATATTTCAAGACGGAGAAGTTCCACTTGTAGCACAGCAGTTGTTACATAAAGACTTATATACAGAGCACTGGCTTTTGCTGAACTACTCCTTCTTGATTTCATTTTGTAAAGAATTTAGACAGCCATAAATCAAAGGAGCATCAGCGGGGATACCCAAAGCAGTCTTATTTGGGTGAACCTCTGCATTGCCCAGGTTTGTAGAATGATCTGGGTTCAATACAATTCATATGAGTTAAGCGGCAGAGAAAACAAATCGACCTCTCTGTACTCATGCTGAATGATCATCCATCCTGTCAGTGATAGATGACCTTTCTATCTTTAGAATCGCACCACCTGGCACTTGTGCTGCAGTCATACTGTGCTGTTTCCAATCTTAGCTCCTGACACTGTTCAATAATGCATCTCCCCGTGCGGTCCCTCCTCTCCATAAATGTCGGGGAGTTATAGCAGCAGAAATAATAGCAGGAGGGGGTGGGGGGTTTGCTACTGTACTTGAAACATGAAGGAAGCTTGGGATGGCCAATTTCGTCTCCTTGTTGCAGTTGGCAGCTGAAACAAAAGATCGAGCGCCTCCGTCAACCACACATGGGCGTTTCTATTGTTTTGATTTTTTTTGTATTCCTCCCCCGGCAGGCATAGTTAGGTTTTCTATTTTAACTCATTTTTCTGCGAACATCTCAACTCAAGTGTCTAATGGAGATCCCTAAACCGATGGGCGTTTATGCGTCATTGCAGTATTCTGGGGGATCCCTTTTAAACATCTTACTTCTTCTCGTTCAGAAAGCGGTGGGTGATGCAGCGTTACAGTTATGAGTCAGAGTGTTACCTCATCCATGGATATTCAGGGTTCCCCAAAATATAAAATCTCCTCACTTGAGAGCAGAGGGGTAACGTAGCTTTCGTGATTCATACATCTCACAAGGAAATCTCATTTGCCCACCAAAATAGCATCCAATCTTGACAGTAATGTGTTATTTATTCAACTCACCCACAAAGACCAAAAAAATAGAGTCAAGGGGCTGTTTCTAAAAATAGCCACAGCTTCTGCATAAAGCGCATAGGGCTCTTTCTGGAGTAGTGAAATCCCCTCCCCTGTGTTACTAGGCAGAAGAGAGAATTTGTGCAGGAAGACTGTATTGTCTTAAGGATACCAAGTATCGTTGCTAAGCAACAAGGCGACCAGGTCAATAATATTGTGCCCACTAGGGCATTGGAAGCGATATTCCTGTTCCATGTGTTTAAAATGTAATATCCTCGGAGCTGTGGGAACACTTTGTCTTTGTTTATCGAAGAGTCATGAGGCAAAGAAAAGCAGCACGTTGGGCTGTTTCCCCCCGATGAGGTTTTAAGATAGTGGCATTCACACAAATTTACATAAAAAAATGAAGTAAGGCTTAATAAATATATATGTGTGCATGTGTATGTTTATAACGATGGGATCCTCATATTCTGATGGAACAAAATGCTGTAATCAGACACCCTTCCCCTTCTCCTTATTATCCTTATTTTATTCTAATCACACGTCTCAGAGGAGACCTCACCAAGGGAGCCAAGCTATTGAATAATTCCTAATGCGACTCCACGTGCCGTGTCTGGTCACACATGTTAATTAACAAAGACTTGTTGCTTGGATGTACTCATTATCCTATGCAGCGTTGAGTAAAAACACAGCATTTGAGAGCATCTGAAAAAAAAAAAAATCACACACCAGATTTTTCCGCGATCTTTTTTTTCTGCCAGTTTTGTGTCCCTTAATTAAAAGGCATGTAAAGAAAATGAGTTTGCGCTTAATGCTCATCACACAGTGCAACAGAGACCTTGATAGTTTGTGCATGGATGGTGAAAACAGCTCTCTCACAGATGTGGTTTTCTATTGTATTAACAGACTTTTAGAATACAACAATTTAATTGGCTGCTACGTGCCCGTCTACCCAGCGATAAACACAAAACCTCCTTCAGCTCGTTCTATGTGACTTAACTTTGATCCGTGACAGAACAAGAACTATAAAGAGTCCAAATATTGGTTTGGTCAAAAGGATAAAGACAGCCCTGCTGTGCTCTAACCTCTCTGTCCTTTCCACCTGTAGAGGTGCACTGTGATGTGTGCCGCACGCTGTCTGAAGCTGAGCCCTTTGTATAAACAATAAATGTCAGCAGCAGCAAAAAATATTGAACTTTGAAGACCTTTTGGGCTCTTTGATGGTGATGGGTCAGCATGTGGGAGCCTAAACTCAGTCATTTGAGCACCACCACTGAGAGATTGTATCATATCACAAAGTAAATTCTGTTTCTTATAACAATATTTCCTCATTTAAAAAACAAAAAAAATAGGAAAAACTGAATTCAACTGGTGCAACAAAGAGGGTGAGAGATGACTGTGGCAGTAGTCCAGCGCACATCAGGAGGAGGCTGGGGATGCCTTTAGCGGGAGCCCGCTATGCCCCGCCTCCCTTAATTCGGCATGCAGTAACCAGGGAGACTGGGGGGAGTCGCGCCCCAGCAGCTCATCACGACCCAGTTGAAAAGCGCGTGTAGCGAGTAGTAGAGAGGAGAGCCTTCACTGCTGCGGCGTTGTGCAGCAGATACTATCGCATCTGAAATGCAGCACACAGCACCCGAGAAATAATTAGCAGACTTCTCAAAATAATAATAACAACAACAAAAAAGGAGAATTAGCTTCGCTGATTGTTCCAGATGTGGGGAGCGCCTCCGCTGAAGTCTCACAGCCGCGGTTTGGATGCGAGATGGAAACATAGGGGATTCCTCTCGAGAACGCGCACAGCGAAGAAGCTGCAGCCCGTTTAAAGAGGACCGGACAGGTTATCTGAAGATACGATGGTTCAAAACGTAGTTTTGGTGTTTCTCCGCAGGAGGCTGAGCCAGAGACCGAATGTGGAGGAGCTGGAGAGTCGGAACATTTTGAAACGTGAGTTCAAACACCGCAAAACTACTCCCGAATATTTCACTCACAGCGAAGTATCTCACAGAGGCACGCCGTATTTAATACATCAAGCGCGTGCACTAATCAGCGCAGTAAACAACGCATGAGTACACTTTTTTCTTCATTTTTTAAAAGAAATTGAATTATGAATTTTTAAAGGAGCTGTTTTTACTTTCTTAGAGAGAAACGACCAGACAGAACAGGAGGAGAGGAGGGAGATCAAACAGCGGCTAAACAGAAAGGTGAGACTCCGTTTCTATTAAATACACTGTTCTGATGCTCTGGTTACTTCAACGTAAACAACAGACGGTGACAAATGTTTGGCACCTTCTTGTCTCCTCCAGCTCAACCAGCGGCCGACGGTAGATGAACTGCGGGACAGAAAGATCCTCATCCGCTTCAGTGACTATGTGGAGGTAGCTAAAGCTCAGGACTACGACAGGAGAGCAGACAAGCCCTGGACTCGTCTGTCAGCAGCAGACAAGGTATGTATTGGATAGTGCAGTCACATCACGTTGATCTCTATGTCTTATTGCCACCACTCACTCAGGACTTACCGCCAAAATCAATTTCACTATTTAAGTCAGTCGGATTAAACAAATACCCAACATCTTTTCCCAAATTCCCCATTGACCTATTACTCAGGCTATCCAGCATTGCAAGTTGCTGTTATCAGCTTATCTCACAAAATCCCATCCTCTTTAAACTTTTTAGCCTGATTTTATACATAAATATATATATTTCCTTCTTCCTGTTGTTGCTTTGCAGCTTGATGCACTGATGCAATTTTTTTCCTCTTCCCAACAGGCTGCAATCCGGAAAGAGCTGAACGAGTTTAAGAGCACCGAGATGGAAGTGCATGCCTCAAGCAAACATCTAACGAGGTCAGCATTTGGAAACGCCTGCCTGTGCTTGGAAGAACATGCATGCATGGGTTGATGCTCTATTCTAAGCTGCAGCAGTCTAAATTTAGCTCTCCTTGAGCATACAGAGGTGCATGCAGGAGCTAAAGATAGATGGGAGTGCTATAATGGGGAGGGGGAGAATGTCCTCCAGAGACTTCTCACTGCCAGGTAGCAAAGCATGATGAAAGGCCACCGTGTCCTCGGCTTAATCATGTTTAAAAGCACGAGACCTCGTGAGTTGTAACAGTGACCTAGAGGGAGTGTACGTGCCTTGCTTCTCAGCACTGTAAACGGCTGTGCTAAAAATAGAGCCACAGAACTGATTAATGGCTGCAATAACAGAAGGGCATCTGGTAACAAAGGCACCCTCTGGCTCTCACCATTTATTTCTATTCCCTTTCTTTCTGTGTTTGTCTCTCCAGGTTCCACCGACCGTGAAAGTGTGGAGTTTCTTCTGTGAAGAAATGCTGAGCTTTGACATTTCCTGAAGCTGCTAGAAGCTGCTCAGTGGCGACAGTTCAAAGAGCCCGGAGCCTTTCTGTCTTCGGCGCGCCTTTTTTTAAGAATCTTCCGCCACCCTTGACCATCATATTATCAGTATGAAGTCACGGGTATGGGAGAGATGATGATGGTAATGTTAGCACTGGCGTGTCCCGGAGACTGCTGAGTGCCAAACGTGGAAACTGGCAGGTGGAAGAGACTTTGGTGGAGCCTCTGACTCTCAGGACAAGAGCAGAGTATTAAAAAAACAAAAACAAAACAATCTTGTCATTCAGTCATTGTTTTTTTTTTCTTTTTTTTGTACTAATTCATGGACTCCTGACAAGATTGTGTGAATCTGTGTAGTGGGAAGAAGTTGTGCATGTGACCAGCTTCACCTTTTCTTAACTGATGAATAATGTGTCAAGACTGTGTAAAGACTGTGCAGCGTGGGGGAGGTGGCATTGGGGGTTGAATTTGATATTAACTGTACATACAGTATGTCAATCAGAATGGGACCGTCGACGTCTTCACTGAAAAGAGAAATACCTTTGTAAGCACTTACTTGTCTTCAAAATACAAGGCCTTTTTTTTAAACTGTGCTGCCTCATTTATTTTTAAAACAACTTTATTTTCATTTAACAATATGGTAGATGAGTTATTAAAAAACAATCAATACAATTAAGATCTTGAAAGTTTAGTTGACCATTTCTAGTACTTAACAAGCTTCAATGAATAAATCAAGAATTAGGGTTAAAAATAGAGTCAAGTCAATGAATAGCATGGGAAAGCTTACAATAACACCAAAACTTATTCAATTTATAAAAGCCATAAAATAACACCAGAACACAACATTTCCAATAAAATCCCAAACACTGGAACAACGCACCATTAGAATAAACCAAAGACATCTGCATGGAATCAAAGCAGAATCCAGAAAAACAAACACTGCATGAAAATACTTTGAGCACAGCAGAACTGCCTAGGACAGCACGAAACACACAACCTGCTTTATTGCGTTCCGGGACAGTGTTGAACTCAAACCCGGCTCCCTCATCAGGGGAAGAACAAAGCATGCAGTCCTTTCTTGACACTCTGGAGCTCTCCCTCCAGCTATAAAGGACACAAAGAAACATTCGAGAAAGACGCTTAATTTGAGATCTTACACAACATCATCTGAGTCATACTTTTCTTTCAATGGTACGTGCTTATGCACAAGCTTTCACGGAACTATTGTTCTTTTGACAGAGTGATGGACACAACATTCAAGACACAATGCAAGCCCAGCTCTTCTGTGTTTCCTGAAGTTTCACCTGTTCATACTCACCATCTCACTGAGGAATTTGTCCTGAACTGACTTCATGTCTTTTCTGATCGTGCACATCTGAAAACAGCACAAACAGCAGCAGGGTTTTTGGGAGTGGTAATAAAGATTATGACACAGAATAAAAGGGAGAATAAAAGAAATAAGCAAAATGTCACAAAGGCCACTCAGCAAAAGTCATATTTGATAGACAGCTTGACAGGCAGGTAACCTCTTCTAAATTAAAACATATAAACACTGATTATTCAAAGCTGAATTTTGAGTTCAAACACAATGAAGCAAATATTAGATATACTGTGAAGTCTATGGATGAGGATCACACCTCAGATGTGAATATTCTCTCCTCATACTCCAAGCTGTTGCACGTGTTACTCTGAAGCGCTCTCTTCAGGAGCTCATTTCTGGAAATAAGGAGACAGACAACCATAGAGCTGTATATCTGATTTCTTTTACACATTTTTAAATATTTTCGTGGCAATCGTGTCACTCAGGATGGAACTACCAAGATAACAAAGAACAAACGACAAATTAGTGACACAAGTATGGACTGCAGAGTATTGTGGCTAAAGGACCCATTTAATACAATCCCTTCTCAGATTTGAGGAGTTAGCAGCATAATAAACTGCATAGGGAATTTTTTTAAAAACAGAGGGCATAAATGGCAATTAATAAAATATATGTTTATCAAAGGAATAATACTGATATTGGTTTCTCATACTCACTGAGTGACGAAGTCAGACATATCTGAAACGACTGTATAGATTATATGTGTTAATTACCATATGGGGAAAGTTGATAAATGGGGGTGCTTTATTTTTATTTTCAGCTACTAGCAGTGTAACTATGGAGGGAATGCTTAAGATAACCACAGCTAAATGATAGGAAGAAGAATAGGATGTATAGAACGTGTATTTAGTTGATGATTTCAAGCTTAATGAAAAAAGCTTTTTTCCAATCAAAAGTTTTAATCTTTCTTCCAACAGAAAAATTATATAATTCTGTGTATTCTTCTTTAAACCTGAAAGGACACCATTAATCAGAGTGTGGAAAGAGGAATTATAAGACTCTTTTAGTACTCAAGCACACACAAACACACGCTTTAATTTCACCTCGTGATTTCCTGCTTCTGGTAAGAATGGAAAGCCGTCATCTGTTTTTTCCAGTACATCTGTATAAGGAAAAACCATTGGCACTGGTCAAATCTACAACAGATCATCCTGGCGGCAGGTATTATTCAACAGAACATTGAATGGCTGGATATTTTGTTTTTAATATCACTTTCTGCATTTTCTCTATGTGGCAGACAGAGTCAGAATAACCTACAGTGAGGTCTTTATCCATGGTTTTCAGCACAGTGTCATCCTGCTCCAATTTGTGTATCTCCTCCAGGAGGACCTTCTGAATGTGTTTAAGCCTCTGAGTCCTGTAGGGAGGACAGACAATTAACCAGTAAAGTAGAAATCTACAAGGAAACACAAACAAAGGTTACAGTGCCCTATCACACTCATGAAAGACCACTGTAGGGTTGTAGCCTATAAAACATAAACAGGATTTATTAACACAGCAAACTGACTTCTAACTAGATTTCACATTTGCTAAGGACCCCTGTCTGAAGAAGCCCAGATACACATTTTTTTGAATAGATTATTCTGCCAAATCTTTCTTTTTCATATTCTCCAGTTATGAACACACAAGAGAAAATAATTTAGGTTAAAATAAGAAAATGATCACTATAGATTCTCACTTGCCTTTCAGGACTTCTCTGTTAGTGTGCTATCGGCCATCAAATTAATTAAAGGTTGGCGATAACAAATGTTGCATATTAACCGAAAAGATCAGACTTATAGTTCATTTACAAACTGACAAACTAACTGACCTGCATTTGGTAATTTGCATATTAATGGAAGAGACGTGTTGCTGGACGGTCTTCAAAGACTGCTTGTTGTAAAGCTCCATCATGCTGTAACGTTTCTGAACATGAATATATATGGTTATGTAGCAGTTTTGTAAGTAATCATTCAACAGCAGTACACGCTGCTGTCTCAAATACATGTTTACCACATACTAGATTTCTCACAACATGAAGTGTTCCTTTAAATTGTGAACACAGGACAGATGCAATGTAGTGTGCAGCACTATTCTCTAACTATGTTGTATGTCTGGACACATTTCCAACCTGGAACTTCTTCTTGAGCTCCGAGCTCAACTGCTGACACATGTTTCTTGGGTTTACAGCAATTTGTGGTGAATCTAAACCTTCATCAATGTCCACGTCTCCATCTGTTACTTCACCCTCCCAATGACCAGAGGAAGACTTCACCTGGCTCAACTCATCCACAGCAGGCACCTCAACTGTAGGTAACAAACAGGAACATTAACATATTAGAAAGGACAACATTAGAGTCAAATTCTGATTCAAGAATGTTTCATAGTTTTTTTTTTTTTACCAGATCTTTTAAAGATTCCACTGATATCTTAAATATCCTCACTACATCCTAAATCACATAGTTATAAAAAACAAAGATGTTTTGGCTGTGCTGCAAGGAATATTTTAAATTCCTGTGTATCTGTTTTACATCACATATAATTTAACACCGTCAAAAAAAACCTTTTTAGGGGCATTTTTAACAAAATAGTTCCAAAAAATACATTCAGATAGATCACCTTAGATTAGATTTAGATGTAGTAAAATCCTGATCTAAGAATAAAACACATGAAGAAACTTCCTGTGCCAAAGTTGAAACACATATTAGCTTGTCTGATTAAGGCATGTGTAGTTAAGGTTTTCCTGTGCTTATCTATGTAAGAGACTCTGAATATGTCTTACACGACTTGAATAATTTCCGTGGCTTCAAATGAGGAGAGTGATTCCCTCTCATCTTGCTTCTCATACTCTCTTCTGTCTCCTCGTCCTCTGAATGACTAGACAAGGAAATGTGGCGCTTGCGGCTGGGCCCTGTTTCAAAAATCAGATGCGACAATTAGATACAATGGCATTTTATAATGAAACGCAACTTTAATTTGGTGCAGAGTGGACCTAACAGTGGAATTAAACTGTAGCAACCAGGAAATTTATGGCAACCCCCCCCCCCAAAAAAAACAAGTTAAACGTTTATTTTACCTGAAACATGAGACTGTGCGAGTTTTGAGTCTTGGTCTGACAGTGGCGTCATCTATCCAGAGGACAGTAATGAGTTAGTTTACAACAACTTAGACCCACATTAGAGTGATTTAGTGTTCCTAAAGTTTTTTTTGTTCTTCAGCTGTAAAGTTACATTAATCAAAAAAAGTAACCAAAAATCAGTAAAGAGCCAATACCTCTGCTTTAACAGATAGAGCCAGGGCAACAGTGGGACCGTCCTTAACTTTGCTGGTGAGTACTGATGAGTTAATAGATGATGAGCTTAGTGAAATCTGGGATACTGAAGACACTTTACTCAAACTACAGCGGTGGCCATGGCTAATTGTGTCATTTGGAAATGGTGACTGAGCAGGAGAAGGCAAGGGTGGTTTGTCCAGCTCAAGGAGTGTGGATGTCAGCAGGGGTCGAGTGGACAAAGGAGAATGAGGTGCTGAAGAAAGATGCTGTTCGATTGTACTAATCTGGAAACAAATAGAAGATTGCAGGCGGCAGAAAGTGATGAGAAATAATGTCAAAAAAAAATATGGTAACTCGTTTTGTGGTTAGCTAATGATCATGTCTGCCATAGATAAGTGACAATAAATGAAAAAGACATTTCACACAATGCATGAAGAAGCACAGATTAAGTGCTGCAAAGCCATTATCCGCTCTGTACAGCATTAAGTAGGTCATTTCAATCATCATGTGCATTTCCCCATAATTAAAAGATCTATTTATTAGGAATTCCTCACATGGCTAACTCATAAGAATGGCTTAGCTTAGCCGTAGCCATCTCATGTTAGAGATAATAACTGTCTGGAGTAGAATTTAGCAGTTTGCAAATCAAACTTTCCAGTTGCTTATAAAGGACAAGGTTCAAAATAAGGTTTTTAAGGGGAGGGAGTTATATTTTCAGTCATCCCTATCCACATTTTTCTCGGACAGTCTGGGAATTTCAGCCTGTCAGGCTTAAGTCAGTGGCCTACGTTTTTACTTCAGTGAAATAATAACTCACACTACTATTCAAGTTATGCTACTGATTCTCACAAGACTGTTGACTGACATCAATAACATCTATGCAGAGTTAGTGCAAGAATAGCTTAAAGACCTGACAAAGATGCCAAAATGAGTGTATAAACATCTTTATGGTGAGTCCAGATGAATTTAACAACTCAAACAGCCCACGGCAGATCGCTACAGATGTGCAGTATACTGGACTAACTTTATACAAAGAGGAGCAAAGACAAAATTAATAAGGCTTCCTCACTCTTTCCCTTCTGGCCTTTTCGTTAGGTGTGACTACCCTTTCCATCTTCTTACTTTGTTATTTATTTTCTTTAATAACAGAACACCACCCACACTGGAATACTCCACTATTTGCTGAAGCAATGTTCAGAAATAAAAAAATATGCTTTCAACTCAACAAATTAGAAAAAACTCATACTCGCGTATTTTGCACTGTGTCGTTTTTTTAGGGTGAATGTGAAACAAGTATTTTTCTACCCTAAAACACTTTCTTTCTGTTTTAACCCTTGACAGATACCTTACCACAGTGCCATAATATGTCAGAAAGGTGATGTACCTTTGCTGCACTAAGTTCAGTCGGAGGTGCAGGGATTTGTCCTCCAAGTGAAGTGAGAGAAGGGACAGACTGCTTAGAATGAGTCTTGGATGAGCCATGATTCTTTTCTGCAGTGTAGAAAGAAGACTTGCACATTTCTTTACTTCTGACTTTAGGTTTGGGTAGCAGCAGGACTGGCGAGGGGGTGTCTTGGAAAGAAGGCTTAGGGGAGGCAGGCAGCGGGGATCCCCGCGGGGTGAGAAGAGGGGAGCAGGTCAAATCCAAGGTTGGGACTGACCTATCAGCAGCTGCAGGGATCCAAAATAAGCACAGATGTTCAAACAGCTGGCTTCAGAAGTTGGACAAAGAGTAGAAGGTCAATATACACAAGTTCCTCTACATAGAGGTTGGAGAGCAAAAGGTTTCTTTATGCAATGCTTTACATAAAGTGTTTAGAGTGAAAAGGTTTCACTGCCATGGAAACACACATTGCCGGCACCAAATTGTTTCACAGGGGTTTATACAAATATCTAACAGCTGATAAAGAACCAGCGTTACAAAAAGGGGGGTTTTGTGTGAAGAGTATAATTTTTTACAAATATAAATGTTAAGAAAGATAACGAGACTCATCATTATGACTCGGAGTAATACGTTAAGTTAGCATTTCTGACGATCTCACCTTTTGAGATAGTTAAACAGTCACTGTTTCTACACAATAATGAAAATCAAAGATTACCATCCACTCTTCTGCTGAAGAAAAAATATGTGTCACTAAAGGAAAACTTTTTTTTTCAATATTAAAATGGCTATTAAGTACAACCTGAATTCTGAAAAAATTGCGATGCAGTGAAAAATAAAAACACAATCCAGTGATTTGAAAAGTTCATAAACCCATATTTAATTCAGAATAGAAAGAAGTGAAAAATGTATCATTTTAAGAAAAAATTCAAGTTCAGTTTGAAATGTATTTCAGATGAACCTGTCATCTTTACTTCTGAGAAATGCACTTTTTACCCCCAAATCACGTTACTAACCTGTGCCAATCAATCTAATTAAGTGCATAATCTTTCTCCAATGGTTTCATTGTAGCACACTTAGTTTACCAGCCTTTTATTGCTTCCATCAAATCCAAAATGAGCTATTATTTTTCATGAAATAGTAAAATATCTCAGTTTAAACATTTAATATGTTATTTTCTGTGTTCTATTGTGAACAAAATATGGGTTAATACGATTTACAAATCACTGCATTCTGTTTTTATTGACATTTTACAGTGTCTAAGGTTGTCAGGGGGGGATTGGGGTCATGATACATGTCACCACTGTGATGGAATTAACAAACCATTTGATCAAACATTAAACATTAAATAGACATTAGCAGCTGTCAGAGGGATCAAATGGCTCTTATCTAACTCTGACGCCAGAGAGTCGTTTTTTATTGTATCTTACATCTCATCTTTTCCATGAGAGGAGGGGATGGACAGAAAGAGGTCTGGCAAGTAACCCAGGAATCCTTCAATGAACTCATCTGTTCTTGGGCATTTGTCTTTTTCAATTTTGAAGTTTCTTGAGGAACATTTTCAGGCCTCTGCTGGAGAGCAAAGTATGTTATTTATGACAACATATTATACTGTGAAATCCATTCAGAAACACAACCTGCAGATGAAGATTTAAGACCACAGCATAGTCTCAGCTAAATAGAGCCAAAAAAAATTATTTTTTTAATTATTAAATTTCTCCTTTTGACGTTAAATAATAAACTACTGAAATATATTCAGATCAAAGACTGTATAAATATGATAAACATAGCTGCCAGGTCTGATAAGAAAAATCTGGGGTTTTTCTAGTGAGTTTCTGGTCTCAGCTGATAGTTTAACGTCTTTATAAATTGCTTTCCCCTGTTGAGTCAAAGGGGTAAAGCAGGTATAGCCTATGAATGTCATTGTTTTTCATTTAAATTTACCACTTGTTCATGATTGCTTATACATGTGCTGTGTAAATTCTATAAAAATCAAACATGATCTAAGTCTGAATTACCTAAGTGTTTATATAAGTGTATAAACACTTAGTATCTGCAAAAATGTAAAGCTGTGAGTTGAAGACAACAAGTAATAAGAACATTTCTGTGCAGAACTGATGTCCTACCTTAAGTACAAAAGGTTTTTTAAAATCTGACTGGTTGTTGTTGCGTTTTCTCCTGTAGGTAGCAGCTGCTTGCTCAGAGGTTTTCTCATGCTTCCTCTGCTGGTCTATAAAATATTTCTGTTGAAATTCAGAAGAAAAACAAATATGATATTGCTCCAGCCATTTCTCAAATAACCACTTAGTAAAGTGGCTGGCTTCTTTGCGCATGGGTTTATATTGTTTTCCATTTGCTGGGTGCTGTCAGTCTTTTCCTTCTTCTTTTGAGTTCCATGAACTTCCTCAGTTTTCTCAGAGAATGAGTACTATTTATAAAGAAAAGAAAGGTGCAAAATATACATTATTATTGTTGCACTGGCTTGAAAGTTTGTTTTTTTTGTCTTTTCACCAGATGAAATGTGTATTTTTAAAACTCACTATGGTTTAGTGAGTAGTTTATTAACACTGTGACTGAGCAATATATTTTCTACACCTGAGCTTAAAATTGTATGCCTTTAGAGTATTGAAAGGACGGCCAAAGTCCATGAAAAAAGGCGTTTTGATAATCAATATAATGTGTGGAGGCGGGATGAAGTTTGCCTTTTTACACTATATATATTTAGAAAATGTTTTAATAAACATGTTTGCTTCATCTTTTGTTTACTCTGGACACTGTTGCCAATAGGATTACTTAAAAAAGCAAAGTGGTACCTGTTAACTGTTTAAAAAAAAAAAAAAAAACAGTAACAATGCTTAAGAAAAAGAAGTCTGTCTCCTGCCTTGGTAGCAGGAGGATCTTCAGGTTCTTCTGGCTGACTGTCATCAGTATCTGGCTCTTTGTAGTTTCTGGTAGAGGCGGCTGCAACTCTCTTGGGCCTCTTAGTAGCTGCATGTTGTCTGCTAGGTGCTGCTGCTAGCTTTACTCTCTCCTTTGGCTGACCAAGGTCCCTTTTCATGCGGCCGTTTTTCTGATACAACAGTGACACACTGTGGTTACTTAAAATAGTGCAGCTTGTAGCACACAATTTACAAAAACATTAATCATTCCTTACCTGAGTTGGTTTGTTATTACCCAGTCCAGCTCTTGGAAAGATTGGGACTAAATCTGGAGATTCAACTGTAATTAAACAAAACATGTATGCAATTACTGATGTTTTCAAATAATTTTATTGGCATACAGTCGTGATGCAACAATTTTCAGACTTTGAGTCTGAATGTAACTTTAATGGCCTACCAGAAGCAGGTCTAGGTTTGATGGGTGCCTGCCTGGAGTATTTGATAACCTTGGGCTTGGACTTTGTGGCTGACTCTCTCAGCCAGCTGACCTCTGTTGTGGCATTTTCTGTGTCTGTGTCACTAAACAGGTGCTTTTTTACATGCCCCTTCTTCTGTAACACAGAATACAGCAGAGGACAGACATGAGTACACAAGCATGAAGAAAATGTTTCCACAAACATACAATGAATGCCTACTTTCGCCACAGGCTGCTCTTTCTTGGTTGTGCTGAGGAGTACTGGGGAGTGGATGCCACTGTCAAACAATATGGGAAGTATAGATTTAAGAAAGATTTGTAACAAAATATTAATATTTAAGACAGATAAAAGTCACAGAACATTCTCAATGGGGCCTACTTGCTCTGTATGCCACAGGTGTTTATGTTCTCCTTCTAAAATGAAATAAGTGAAACAAGACTGTTAACTTTAATCTCATGCTGATACATGTCAATACATAAAACTGACTCACATTAGTAACACTTACCTCAGAACTGAGGGGTGTATTGGTCCTGAATGCAAAAACGTCATGTCTATACAACAGGGGAAAAAACTATTACATTCACTGAAAGACAAATCTATCTTCAAATATCTTTGAAATGTTTTAATCGACTTAGATTACCTCCGCCTCACACAGTTTGTTTTGGTTCTGCTGTAGGATGTAATTGGGTTTCTGGATGTTTCTCTCTAAAATACATCAAATGAATCAATAAATTATCTTTAGTAAAATAAATACAGAAAAGTGCTTTCAACGTTTTTTAAAAAACTATACTTTAAAAATTACTCAAATTAATCCTAGACATAATTCAAATATTGATCACTTACTTTTCCAGTTGATGACCAGCTCATATTGAAGATTGGTCTACTACAAAAACAACTCCATTAATGACATTATTGAAGTGGAAATTTAAAGTGGAAAAATTACAGCCCTAAATGTTCATACCTGTTGACAAGAGAAGGAAACCAGTTCTGAGTGAGCTTTTCAGAAGTGTGTTTTTCTTTAGATTGGCCATTATCCTTATAGCGGCTAGAGATGAGCTTCACCATGCTGCCTGCAGCCTCTGAGTCTCTCTGAGAGCAGAAATTTCAAGGAATAAAAAAACCAAAAACCAAAGAAACAAAAAAAAAACTTAATTCTTAACAAGAATTTTGGACTTGACATTAAGCTGCATAAACTTTACAGAAGTCATACCTTTTCTTTGTCTAATTGAGCCCTCTTACTTTCAGTTTCAGATTTGAGTGTTTTTTTCTCCTTTAGAGTTTTAGTTGTGGAGGTCTTCACTGATGGTTTCATTGGAACAGCACTAGTCTCCAGTGACGTCTGGCCCTTGCTCTTCCTTTTTGCACGACCATTGCTCTGGGCATGTTGCGGCTTGGAAGTACATAATGAGGAAACATACTGGTCTTCTGCATTTGTTTCATTCGAGTCCCTTCTGATATCAGATGCTTCAGAAGGTGGAGACTCTTGGTTCCTCTCCTTAAGGACCTGCTGCAGTCGCTCACTGAGCTGGCTATGCAGTTGCTTTTGGCAGACTGAGCTCGAGGCTGAAACTGACCACTTCGATGATAAGGAGCGCTCCTGAGGACCCAACATAGCTGAACAAGGTTCTAAAGAGAGGAAAATAACTGTAATCAAAACCCTGATAATTGTTAATGGGATTAACCTTTAACTAGCTTGGATTTTTGTATATTTTACTAGCTGTAATGTACAATGACAGTTTCATAATTTTAGTGATACAGAAGATATTTGTTGCTGCCTTAGTTTACCAGATCTTGGCAGGGAACTCATTTTCTGTGTTGGCATCATCAGCATTTTTGAAACTGAAAATTTGTGCCAATTAGAAGCCCTGTAATTTAAATAAAAACATAAATATACTCAGATAGACCCATTACATACAGATATCAATCAGAACACTGGCTATGAGCTATGCAAACAGACTGGAGGTTCTTCATGATACTTGCATGTTACTCCCAGTTTGGGGTTGGGTGTCAGGCACAAAATTCTCCTCTGCAAGTAAAAAAGCCAGTAATGAGTTGAGTCTTTAAACAAATAAAGCTGTATGTAACAAAGATAATACAGTTTATTTCCGAGTTAAGCAAAAAACAATGAAAATATATTTATATCATACCTCTGGATTTTTCTCCTCCTTGTTCAGCCAGAACCATGTTCACAGCATCTTTCAGTGGTATGCTCTGCAAACGACAGCAAATGAAACTGTATGATATTTCATATTTAGCAAAACACAGTTATTTACTTTGTGCCTCATACTAAATCCTCTGTTGCTTATAATTGCTGCACTAACTGCATTGTTAAGAACCCAACAGCAACGATTTTTACATCACTTTATTCTGACTGTGTGGAAATTATGTCTTTACATCAGGCTATGAGCATTAACCAAACAAACAAAAAAAGAACAAACCAGTACCCTGATGGAAAGTTACCATTATATCTAAAAAGACCCAGATTCATGAAAATTCAATGGTTAGGTGACCAGAGGAGGTCTAGATAAGTCTAGGTAGTTAAAACATCGAATTATTAAGAAACGTGAAAAGCAAAACCTGTTTACACAGCTGGATCGTATTATGGTCTCCTTTAATCAAAAAGGTTAAAAAGATCATGCAAAAGTAGCAACAGTAGTAAAAAAATAATAATTTTTTTAATCATTTATAGATAGACTGTACCTTTTTGTATTTGTCACCTTTATTCTTGATGGCCGGTTTAGAGGTTGTGCTCTGTAGAAATGCATCACATCGATAGTAACTGAATAACTGAATTTCCTGGACCTGGTGTATAACTACTCCTAACTTGGCTAAACAGTACACATTACAAAAACATGAACATTTACTTTACACTATTTGTGCAGTATGCAAGGATTTACAGTATAAAGCAATATAATCAGAGTATAACTAAAACTTAATACTGAGTACATTAAAGATTAGCTGCTATGACTGCAGTTCTTAACAGTGTTGATATGTGAACTAACCACTTCAAGAGATGACTTTTCTGTTCCAATGCCATTGGCTGGAGTGTCTAAAAAGGAGGACAAAAATATCATACTCATTCATCCTTCAGGATTTATTCAGTGGTTGAGAATGATACAACTGAGCACAAATGAAACAACTGGACACATAATAACTACTTAGTATTTACATACGAACTAAACTAACCCCAAAGGACATGAGGAATCTGATTCAGCTCTAGTATCTTTACATGTTTTCCCTATCCATACTCTTAAGAGTTATAATACAGTCTATTAAAAAAAAGCAAAAATTACTTGTATAGGGTGTTCTTTTTGTCTTCTTTCACAACTTGTATATTTAGTTGTTTTTGTGATTATGTTTATTCTTGTGATATAGCCCATTTATTTCTCTCACCAATAAAATAAAGCCTGTAACTTAGTACAATTACTGGAATTGGTGTGGCTGCAGTCCTTCACACTTTCTACTGTCACCTACTTGATGCAAGAGAGAAGGAACGATGCACACTTGCAGCTCCGCCGCTGCTAAAAAAGGCGGTGGCCTCAGAAATCTTCATCTTGGCTGGGGTGACCACCTGGAGGGAAAATCAGATGTCTATCAATCTTTATGACGGTCTGTTTTGTAGATTTTATTTCACACCAATAATAACACAGAAGTCTTTACAGAATAACTTCTGTATTTAAGAGGAATTTAGTGTTTAATCCATGGTGAGGAAAATACTGCTCAATATTTATTTGGTGGCTTGTGTGCACCCCCTGCTGTTAAGTTTCAGGTGTGCCTTTCTATTGAAGTATCACAACCAAGAGTTGTCCTACGCTTTCATTATATAACTGATGCCAGCCTTAAAAAAGATGTTAGAGTGTAGCTGTTAGCATTTATATTAATAAATGGATAAATATTTATCTTCATCTGATATTGCAAATACTGACTTTAGCTGAGGAATTGTTTGTTGTATCAATCTTCGCTAACTTCCAACTTGTGTTTTGACACATTAATTTTCTCTGAACTGATCTTTTTCTGCTTTCCTTCTTATTTTGCAGGTAGTTGCATGTGCTGTATGTGTTGCATTGCCACATTAAATAATATTATACACATTACAGGGATTTTCCTGCATATCTCTAGAAGCAGCTAGTATTTTAACCAACGTTTTCAGTGGGGTTTAATTTATAAAGCAGAATTTTGTTCATACCCAGAAATACCAGGAAAAATATGCACACTTCTGTAAAGTAAGCTAAAACACTGTCTTCACTGACTTAACTTTATGTTGATATCAATCATGGTATGCCCCCGCCCCCACTCCATTTTCCTGTCTAGTCTAAACTGTCTGTAATTTACAATTTAAATCTCTACCTGTGCTGGTGCAGCTGTAGCAGGTAAAGCGTAGTTGACAGTACTTTTTTCACTTTCACCAAGAGACACCTGGCTCTCTGGAACAACCTGAAAAAAGATGAACATACAGGATGAAAAATCTTTTTAGACATTAACAAAAGATTTCTGATACAATAAAACCACATGAATAAAAAAACCCACACACAAAGGCTTGCACCCATTATAATTTCGATTTAAATAAGCCAGGAATCAATATATTATACATTTCAATATATTACACTACCAAATGTCCTTGGAGAAGATACTAACCCGAAGTTGAACGCGGACAGAAAGCACTGAAGCATAAAGCGCTTTGAGAATCAGAGTACAAAAGCGCTATAGGAACCAGTCAATTTACCATTTAAACCCAACTCCAGCTCAAATAGTGACAGCTTAATAAACACTGGAATCTGAGATGAGAACTAATTATTACAGAAGTACAATAAGAGCATTACAAACCAATGTTTACCTGAGTGTTGTTCTCCATTAAAGATCTAGCTGTAGCTTTCACAACAGATGAGCCCTGACGGAAGAAGAAAGTCTTAATCCAAATACTTAAATTCATCATGACCACAGTTTAGCTTCTGTTTGGAGCCCCATTCTATCAGTGGAAAATATAGACTTTTCCACTTGGTGTGAAAGTCTTTTTAACATTAATGTATACCTTAGAATTTACTTGTCATGTCTCTATTGTGGTGTAGCAAGAAAATTCAGTAAAGACAGATAGACTCTACTTTATTTTTGCTGTGTCCATAGACATTTTGCACAGCCTGCAGGATGTCCAGTGAGGAGCTGAAATGGATCGTAAGAGTGGATCCTTCAGCTGCACCAACAATGACCACCTCTGACAGCTTGATCTGCAAGACCTGCCTCTTACCCTCCTCTGGACATTAAGAAATTTTTTTATTAGAGCAAATACTTATACGAAATGGCAAAGTCGCATGCAAATAAAAATTCAGTAAATGTGAGCAGGCACAAATGCATTGGCCTTTGTGTATACATTACCTTTTACAGTGTAGCTTTGGACTTCATGCTCATTGAGACATATAGTTTCCCAGTGGCTATCCTTTGAGGGTAAACCAAAATTTGTTAAGCAGATGTTGACGGTGCTAAGCAAAAGTTGAGTTTTTTAATGTGTATATTACTGTGTAGATTGTATGTGTGTGTATATTACTGATTTGAGGTATCTGTACCTCTTCATCAGCCAAGGAGAAGTAAAAAGAGATGCTGTGGCTGCCGAGGTTGAAGTCAATCCAAAATTCCTCAAGTTTCTCATCCGAAGGCATCAACAGCTGACAACATAACCACAACCTTATTACAACAGCAACTTATAGTATTAACAATACAGCATGAATTTGGACATAAGCTGTTATTAGATTAAACAGACTAGGACTGTGTGGTGAGAGATTTCTTATGTGTGTTCAGACAATTAATAACTGAGTTGTTTCAAATTCAGTTTTGTTTTTCACATTTTAGAACAGAATCCCTGTTGATACTGACCTCACTGCTGTCCAGATAAGCTTCCAAACAAGGGTAGGAATACACCCTACAGTGCACAAAGAATTGTGTCATCAGAACTTTCAGTAAATATTTCCAGTCAAGATGGCCCAAATACAGAATGTAATTAGAGATTTTTTTATTAAAAGAGCTTGACAGGCGAAAGAATTTGTAAAATGCAATATTCCTAGAAAAATAGACAAACATATGAAAATTCATATTAACTCAGGTTTAGAATGAAAGTTACAAATGAAACCACATGTGTTGTATAGCACTGAGCTCCGTTATGTATGTACCTTCTCTTGTCTCCCTGCATCCCATTCACCATGTTTAGAAACGTACGACAAGCCTGAAATCACACAGACTTGCATTCAATTTTATGCAGCCTTTCAGCATAAACAACATCAGCAACAGCATCAGTACATCAAAAATCAAAAGCAAATATAAAATAAACCAAAACAGACTAATGTTACCGTCTCAAATTCAGAATCACGTATTTTGGCAAATGCACTGGCCACAAGGCTCATTCTGAACCATTTATATGCAAGTTCCTTCCTCTGGTCAGTTGTGGCCATTCTGCACAATGCCTCCATCAAGGAGGACTGAAAGTCATAGTCTGAGGGGGAAACAGAAACAGTGTTTTACATATTTTGTTTTTAATAGTAATTCTGGGTAAAGAGAAATGTATAAAGAAAGCTTACCACCAACATCCATTATATGATCAGCCAGTTTGATCCTGTAATCAAATGAGCAATCTACTTCTTAATAATAAGTAAATGTGGTAATTCATTCTTGATTGTGATCATTCATGTTTCCAATTGTATTAAATTCAATGTTAATAATCACTTAAGAAAACTACAGTGACATACATGATATCAGAGGCCTCTTGTGACATTAGGATCTCCGTGTCTTTTTTAAGTTCCACTGGGATTTTATCCAGAATTAAGTTGAATTTCCGAATTGCCTGTTAAAACATTATTAGGCAGTTAATCAACTGTACCAAACAGAGGTCTTTCAGGTTCAGTGTTACTCTAAAAAAAAATTAGAAAAATTATTGTAAACCTCTTTCTGGATCAGGACGTGGATTCTAGGGTCAACAGCCAACTGGCCAGTAGGATACAGAAAGGACTCAGTGATTTTGTATGTCCCTGCAAAAATAAAATAAAACATGGTATAGCAGACAAAGTCAATGCTTTCTTCTTGTATACAGAGTCATCATAAAATTGCTGTAAACTTATTAGAAACCTCTTTTAAGTTAGAAACTCTTATCCATCTTACACTTAAATATGTCCCCATTTACTTTTTTAAACAGTATAAAAAAGATGTCATTATCTACAGTACATAGAGATATGTACATCCATACCCTCTTCGCATGCCAGATGAACCACCTTTAACATAGAGAAAGTAAAAACAAACCAAATTAAGAATACTGAAACGGTTGACTTTACAAAGTGTGTTTCTTATTAGAAGTTAGCTCACCATTAAAGCATTTAAAAAGTCTTCAGAGAGGTTTAATAAGTTCTCATCCCACTGCAGCCCACACTGAATCCACAGTTGTCTGCATTTTTCAAACCACTCCACCATCTGCACAAAAAAGGGTACAATCAGACTACATAAGTTTACAGAACCCACATAGTATGTACCTTTATGTATTATTACGTGTATACTCATCTTTTTTATTAGACCCTGTGCTATTAACCCCGAAAGTCCTTGGCCACCACCAGGTAGTATTAGGTGTTTTCCACACTTGTAAAGACTGGCGAATCCCAGACTGGCCAATTTGGGGTCTTTTTGAACCAAACCCTAAGGAACATAAATATAGTTTCATTAATTCCACTGATAACGCAGCATCATATTGTGTAACTGGGTGTTTTGAGTTTTATCTCACCCTGCAGATAAGTTTATCCAATTTGCTAAGAAACTGTTGAGAGCATTTCATGGGAGTCTCTTCATAAATCTCCCTCTGCAAGAACACATCCAGTGCTCGGACATCTCCGGACTTTACCGCCTCACTGATTATGTGCTCCAACTAAAAGGTTGAAGTATACAATTTACTTTTCACCATTAGGCCTGAATATTGATTAATTAAGTGATAGGAATATTTACAAAGGGAGAAAGTGTATGTATTTCCCACCTGCATGTTCTGAGCAGGTGCCATCCTTGTGAGAAAAGGTTTTAGCCTCTTTAAATTGACTGTAAACAAAAACAGCAGACATAAACCTACCAATCATAGGCCTATCTGAAAAGGCCTCACTTTATATAAATTATATATTAACATGTAATTTTCAGAAGTTTAATTAATTTGCCATCAAAAAGCTAAACACTAAGTTATCTGTTATCTTCACATGAACCTACGTGAGATGCTTTATATAAATGTATTGTGGTACATGAAATCTGAGCTATGTCACGAGATATGCTGCTAAGCTTTATGACCTCATCAGGCTTTATTGAAGTTAGCTAGCTTAACTTTGATGCTAAAAGCTAAACTTCTATTCTAAGCTAAACTCCTAGCCAAAAATAATTTCAGACCATAACCATCAGCTAGCCCGGGATTACTACATACCTTAAGGAGATAATATCGGCGTGTATTATATACACGGCTCTACTTACTGTGCTGTCAAATCTGGCACAAAAAGAGGACATGACAGGTTGCTTCTTAGTTTAAGTTTTTCAGTTGATCCCCACAACGCGCGCGAAGTCTTTGCATTCTTTGCGCACGCGCGAGAGGGTTTACGTCCAGCCGGAACTGTCGACTCCGTTCATAATACAGTAAGACAACATTAAATACATTTTTAAAAAATCCTGTATACAGGCACTGTTTCTCAGCAGCTCTTTAGTCTGATTGATTTGAAATAGATCTGCTTATTCACCAGGGAAAAGAGAACCATGTTTAGATTTTTTTCTGTTTTGCGGTATAGTAAGTAATATTGAAGGGTAAACTGTAAGTATTTGTACTTAATTTTGTTCACATTTTTAAACTTTCTTTTCTACTACAGTTGTCTGACTGCTTTATTTATCACTTACTTTTCAGGATCTTGCCTTTCTATCCAGTTATACTATCCTCCCCATGTGATTTTTAACTTGATATCTTCCTGATAAACTACACCTACAGGAGATGCTTGGCCATGAAATCCATATCAAGAAGCGCCTGGTGTTATGTTAGTGCTAGAGGAGTTTTGGAGTTCTGCACTTACTGAGTCAGCAGAGCGTTGCCAGCTTTTAGGGACCATGTGCCTCAAGTCTCAGCAACCCCGGTGTGTAACTTTATATGGTCTGCCACTTCGTGGGTGGCTGTGGTTTCTAAATACTTCCACTTTTCAAAAATACCTCTTACGGTTAATGTTGGAATATCTAGGTGGGAAAAATTTCCAGGAAATTACTCTTTAAAAATGTGGCATTCTATTCAATACAAGCCGACAATACAACGCTCAAATTCAAATTGAGCTCTTCAAACCTACCAATTATTTTACAAATGTTTGCTAAGCTTGAACACACGGCTATAGATGCTTGGTTTTATACACATGAATTCAAAGAGTGAGACATGCGACCCAATACTTTTGTCTTCATAGTGTATTTAAACACCTTTAAAAAAGAAAAAGAAAAACTTACAAAGCTAAAAACATGGTTGTTTTTCTGACAAGACAACAACACTACTAACTGAAAACGCTACGTCTAGATGAACAGAATCAATTTTTGGGAAACCCTACTAACATCTTCCTATAGAACCCATTGTTCTGCAATAAACTACGCAGCAGCAATTAAACTTAGCCCCACTTTCAACATTACAGCAGTGAAATGCAATACACACAGGTATCAGGGCAACAGCAATTCAACAACAACAACACATATAAAAGGAAAACACAATCAGGAAGCATGTTTCCAGCGATAATACTTGCATATTCACACCTAAGTAAGATTTAGAATACAGGATTTTAGCTGGTAGTGGGTATTTTCACAGTGTGGTAGGCCTACTGCTACTTAGAATCTGCCACTTTTGCAAATATAAAACATTACATTTCCCTCGAGAGTAAAGTCATTTATTCTCCTATAGCTGAAATATTTACAAAATATGTTTGTTAGAGTATTCTGTAATTAGGAATATATACATAACAGCTTTTTTAGAAAGGCATCTTCAAGCCCATTTGAGATGCAGGACTCCTGCATTTCATAAGCTAAATATGGCTTAGCACATGAGAAACATGTACACTGTATCAATGGCATGACTTCCAAATACAGATCCAAAAAACTCAGCAAACCGGTCCAGAAGACCAACATCCAGCTGGTAGAAAGCCTGGACTGTGAAGTCCATTAATTTCATTTTCACCCAAAAATTTTGTATGGGATGTTCCCACACTGAAGTGCAACTTTTATTAGGAAAATATAACAATTCAGTGCAATTTTTACAAACAAAAATACAAGTGGCAGTAAAGCTGGCACCAGGTGTAAGTGCACTTGTGTGTGTGTGTGTGTTTTATTCAAACTGCTATTATGCCAGCACTACTAAGAGCATGAACAGTTTCCTGTGTGCGGTTATGCCTCCATCAGTGCATTTCTTTATCTTATTGCCATTAACATTACACATAAAATACCCCCCAAAAAGACAAATCCCAAAGGATTTTATGGCAAGCTGTAGCACGCTCAAAAATGTAATTTTTATGCAGATTGGTTAAAAATTGCAAAAATGACCCCAAACGGCCTTGACAGATGATGTGTTTACCGAGTGTTTTTTGTATAGATATTGCTACATGTAATCATTAAGTGTTCTAATGCTCAAACGCTTCTCCTTTTTGTGTGCATACTAACTAAGTGAAGTGCACCATGCTATCCTCGCATTCTTTGGGCACAGAGAGCTTGTAGTTCTTGCAAATTAATTTATAATTCTTTCCATCATTGTTGTCCCAGTACTCAGCACCACAGACTTTGTACTGAATGGCAAACTCTAACACTGCTTCTGGTTGCAGGAATGGAGGTACAGGCAGATGAAAACGAAATGTATCGCAGCTAATTTGGCCCATTCTGCCCTCACAGTTCTTAGTGATGCTGGACACCCAAGAGGCCTTAGCTTCTGCACAACTCTTCCATCCTGTAAAAGAATAACGAGCCGTCACATCTTTCTCAAAGTCCAAATTGAGGACTTGGGTGATTCCGATGACCCCCAACTCAAAACACAGGACTCTCTCAAGGCAAACTTTCTGCTCATAGAGACGATGCAGGAATCCTGGATGGTCTCCAGGTTGCTGGGCAAATGCTGGCTTCAGGTATGGCAAAGAAATCTCCATATGCCTTCCATCTGCCATCTCTGCACTCATCAACAGTCTAAAGGTAACATGATGGGGCACAAGTGGATCCTCTCCCGATTTAAAAATCTTGACGTCTTCCAGGTCCAGTCCCAAAGAGTCAACAAACCGTACGCCAACACTTCTGCACTGCTTCTTCTTGTCAGTGGCAGAAGGCAGCGAGTGCGACCGCTGACGGATGATGGGTTTAGGCGTAGGTTCACAGGAGAGACTGCGGTGAAACTGTTGTTTTGGGAACGAAACTCTGGGGCTCGGGGGGCGGATTGGAACTGGCTTCTTCTGCGCATTAGGCTTGTCAGCCCGGAGCATTTCAGTCAGGTTAATAGTAACACACGACCTCCTCTGTTCAGACTGTGCTGGAGGAATCCTCTCAAGTCCAATAAACCACCCTTTATCCATGTGTGGTGAGAACAGGGGTTCAGTTCACCTGTAAAGTTGGGAAGTAAAAGCATAAGCTTCAGCATCAGCTTACTAAATGCAACAAGCCGTGAAGCAACTTTCAACAAAGCAACTTTGGCGTTTAAACAGTAGAGAGTGGGCGTGTACTCGGGGAGTACGTGCCCGCATGCATGCATACGGTCTTTTTCTGCCTCTCTAAATGACTGCAGTATTGCTGAAACTGCCTTTAATATCACTTGCTCCAATCAGACGTTGACATCACCTCACCATGTGAAGATGCGAAGAGTCAGTCACGTATAAGCTGTAGGAAGCAGCCCAATCTCGATCCTCCATGCAGAGTAGTATTATCAGTGCTGCGTGTAGTGCCTGTTATTGGTCGCAACCGCGTAGCCTGATTTGTAACTGCTAACTGCCTTCATCGCTCTCCAACATCCCATACATGCATTCAACGTGAGGTCTATACAGATCAGCTGACGTGCTCGCAGTTAACAGGAAACTACACGCGGACCAGAATGACGTCGCATGGGTGATTGAGTACTTTAAACGAAGCGGGTGCGAGTTCACGCTGTTTAACTCCTTCTCTGGGACACGGTCCTCATCGGATCCCATCTTGTGCACTCCATTTGCTTATCGACTGCAAGCAAGACTCTGCAAAAAAGGGGCTTCAGCAAACGCTTTAAAATGAAGCCAGCGCGCTTTTAACTGCAAGTCCCATGATGCACCGCTGACGCTCGCTTCGACACGAACAGGCGAACCAGTCAGCAGCAGGTAAACAAACCTATCTGACTGGGACGGCGAGCCAAACAAAGCGTTTGCGCCGTGTCACCGTCTCGCATTTGTAATGGCGATGAGGACGACATCGGAGAAGGAGACGCGCCGGCTGTCAGCAAGCGATTCAAATAAAAGCTGATCTGCGATCGAGCAGCGGGGCCATACGACGGAGATTAGGAGGACGCGTTTCAACCTGCGGATACAGGGGACGCTTGACATCTACGCACGATGCACTGCAGCATTTTTGAGAAAATGGGTGTTTTTAGCCTCATTATCAGACTGGAATATGTGATCCGAGATGTCGGTTGGGTTCTTTAGCTACCGTGTGATTTAACTGCGTCGGACTCGAAAGCAACAATCATCCCCCACTGTGCTGCAACATGGGGCCCATCATGCAGGAGCGCACAGCATCCACGACGCTGAAACGCGTCGTTTCCAAAGAGAAGATTCGGGTGAAAAATACCGAAAATAGCGGGACAGTAACCAGGTAGGCCTCGTTTACGCTGACGGGTATTGCACGTTTTTTTTTCTTTATTTCGTTTTATTTGTATCCTTGACGCGAAGGCGATCCTAACAAACCCGTGTTATGTTTTTGCAGTTCAAAGAAGGGTAACAAGACGAAGAAATCTGTGGGCCAAATGAAAAATGGTCTCCCAGGACCAGGTCAAGATAAGGACACGGTGACAACAGTGCACAGGGTATGTAAACAATACCCTGATAAATTAAAGGGATGTAAATGTATACAACGTCATTCTTATTTTTATTATTTGATAGCAAGATAGTGTTGCCTCATGAGTTCCTACGTGTGTACATAAAGCAGAAGTAATGAGAGATTGTTTTACAGGGTGCACAATCAAAAGGTGCCAGAGTGAAGTCTTGCACTACACGCAATACAAGCAAAGTGTCCAGGTAAGAGTGGAGTTGGGGGTGTGCATGCTTTGCGATTACTTTGTAAATCCCTAAATCCCCAACAGCTTTTCCTCGTCTGTCTCCTTACAGCCCCGATGAAGAAGGGGATTTGAGACCTCAGCTCCGCAAGCAATCTTATGCACACAGGAAGGAGGAAAAGCGAGAAAATCAACGTGTGTCCCAATGCAGCAGCGAGCTCCAGCAAAACCGTGGGGGGATGGGAAAAAATCGGCGAGCACTCTCACTGCCTCTCTCTCCGATATCAGGAGTACGGCAAGTACTGGCTCAGCCCCTGATGCACTCCCCAGCTCCCACTCCCGAGGC